AAAAAAGAATACTTATAAAAATAAAATAGATTTTATCAAACAAAAACTATAAACTTGTAGTTATTAATTTGTAATTATCAATAAAATTTAATAGAATTATTATCCTTATATAACAAACTCGATTGGTTAAACATGATATGTCAAATAGTATAATAATATTAATGTTTCGTTAATAAAGTATAATAATATTAACGTTTTGTTAAATTATTTCTTTCATTTGACAAGAATTTAAAATTAATTTTAAAAATAATTTTATTATTATACGAAATATATGAGCGCAAATTTTGTCACAGATTATATTGCAGATTTTAAAACATATAAAGCAATCTTAAGATCTAACATATATAAAACTTGATTTCCTCATCTAACAATGATGATAATGTGAATGTTTCTTTAAAATTTCTTTCTTAAAATTTATGTATTTGGACTTTGCATTGTGAATTGCATTATTTTTGTTCGTAAGAACATAATTTTACGAAGAGTAAAACTAAAAACATTTATGTCTTGGCTTATTCAACTTATAATTAAAAGTGATAAAGTGAGGACTTAGCATTCAGCAATTGCTGAGATGCAAAAATATTGACCGTACTTTAGACTCTCACATATAGATAGCTACAAGGTTATTATGATTATATCCACATAAATTAATTCTTTTTATTTATATTATATATTAATATTATATTTTTAAACTGTTTTATTAATATGATTAAAATAAATAATATTAATATATAATATTAATATATAATAATCTAAAAATATAAATAATATTGAATAATAATATTAAATATATTTACATATATTCTTTTCGTCATATTATTTATTCAAACTTATATTTTTACATAAAAAATATATAAATTTTGTATACGTAGTTCTTCATGAAATATTATTTATTACTAACTTTTTGTTTGCTAAAATTAAAAATTCTTTTTAAAAAAAGAATACCTTTACTAGTTATTAGTCCAGTTCCCAACCAAGATTGTAATAGAATATGTAAATAACCCTTTTCAAGATGATGTTCTGTACTGCCTAATATTTTCTAAAATATAAAATGAGATTATATGAAACAACATCATTTAATCAATTATATTTTTAGAATAATGAAATGGAGAAAACGCAATATAATGTGTGCAAAAGTTTATTGCAAATACGCCATAATCACTTTATCTAAACAATCACTATGAACATTTTGAAAAATTATCTCTTACGTCGATTAATTAATAAACATTGAATTGTGCTAAGATATTTGTGAAAATTACTATTAAAATATGTTATATAATAAATTAACAAAATGAATAAGTAAATAATTGATTTATCTTCTATATTCTTTACTTTTAAATCATCCGGATGACAAATGTTGACAAAGGCAAATGGACCTAACCAAATTTTATAAATTGGATAATAAATCTCATTATGCATAGATATAAGCTTCCAGTAGTCTTCTAAAATATAAAAAAATATAAAATTTATTTAAAATTTATTTAAAATCAGTAATAAATTATATATAACATTTATATCTTAACGTATCCATGAAATTATTTATATATAAATTACTAATAAAATATACTAAGATAAATAACGCGCGCGCAGTGCGCGTCTGTAGTGTGAAGTGACATAAAAAATAAAGTTAACATATACATTTTTGTAATTTGTCTTTGATCAAGCATTATACATAATTAAAATATAATTGCTATTTATTTCTTTATTACTAAAAAAAATTTGCTAATATTTTAGATAAATCAAATTATTAAAATAAAGATTTTCAAGAAGTTTTACTTACCCTGTGTAGCCTTCCAAAAAACAAAGATATGGCCGAATAATGGAAGAAACGGTACACTCGGTATATTATTAATAAGTCGCTTGAATTTTCCATTATGATAAATATAATAATATAGTAATATGAGAAAGAAACATAGTAGCAGTAAAATAATGATCATGATTTAAAGCATAAAGTATTCCTCAATTTTGCTTTATTTCTTCTTTTAATATTTCAATATTTCATGTTAGTAATTTATATAATAAAATAATTTATATAATAAAATATAATATATGCTGTAATAAAAAATATAAGATTACATCTTATTAGTACTAATACAAATCGAAATAATAAGAAATTTATAAAATAGTTTCATAAGCAGTTTATATAAGACGGATGCGTATAAGTAATAGTAAGTATAAGTTATATAACTTTTCAAAAACACTCATTAATCATATTTTGCATAAATTTAAATTAATATGATTATATATAATAATACATTATGTGATGTATAATATTTATTCTATTTAAATAAATTTTTTTAGATAAATAAAAATTACTTATATTGTATATTTAATTTAATTTGAACTTTGTTTACATTAACTTTATTTTACTACTGTTCATAAAAATATTGCATTTTTTATAAAGTATATTTTATCAAAATATACTTTGTTATTTTTTTATATATAAATTATATATATTTTTGATATTTAAAAAAGTACACTATATAATAATATTTATACTTTTAACAAGATTCCTTAATAAAAATCTTATTAAGACGAATAGATTTTATAAAATTTTTAAAAGTTATCTTTGACATCTTTCACGTGAGGAAACGAATATAGAAATTATACATTTTAAAAAATTTGATGTACACTGAAATTATATTATACTTAAAAAATTTTAATCTTACCTTCAACAATGTGTTTATCTTCTTGTATTGTACATATATAACAATGAATATATATCTATTTATTTTATAAAATAATATTTTTAAGTTAATATCGATTTTTTTTAAATATTTTCTAAAAAATCTTATAAAGGTATAAAAATCTTCCACACATGTACTTATTTATAAAAACTAATTTTAAAAATGGCTTTAATTATATTTTTAAAACTGTAACTGGTAAGATTATATCTAACGAAACTTTAAACGACTTTATTTACTGATCAAAACAGAATCATTGCCATTATCTTTCTGACATATATATATATACGAACCGACTTCTTATAAATTCTACACGATAATTACTTGAGTAACTTTATTATTCAGATGTGAGATTACATCATGTCATCTCAATGTAGATGGAAACGTAATTAATGATAATGAATTATTATATCACAGATAAAAAAATTTTATATAACTTTGGAAATAATATTTATTTCCTGTGTGGGAATAAAAGGGATTTTTAATCAATATTTAATTATCGAATTGTTGATAGAATCGTCATGTTGTAAGTCATTGGAGTGTACATCCAATTTTTTTCTGCTTGTGACGGGATAAAACATAGATATAGAAGAATGTTACGTATAAAAAGATTGTTATATCAGATATAATCCTTTTATCTTTTAATTAATATTACTGACTGAATATTATACTGAGCGTTGTATAAAGCAATGGAAAATATTCTATGTTTCGGATATTTCGGAAATCATACATTGCATTTTACTGTATTTTATTATTGTAATATAAAATGCTTGTTAATCTGCGTAATTAATTACCAATACTTAAATGTATCAATACTACTCTTTAACAAAATATATATTTCGAACTTATACTTGTAATGTTGAATGATGACAGGAGTTTGGTGATAGAAATGGAAGAGTAAAAAATTAAATATTATTAAGTAACGATTATCGGCTATTAGTTAAAAATCAATTCGCGTTGTAATGAACAGAATATTCGAAATTAGTTTAATGTATTGAATATTCTGCGATGACGCATTCGTTCATATGTGATGATCGGTGTCCGTTTTTATGAAATCTGATAATTCGTGATTTTTAACAAGCAATAATCTTCTAACAGGTATGACGGAGTGACTGTGTATTCTGAAGAACTTAATATTCAAAAAAAACAGAGAAGCGCTAGCTAGTATCTATTGCTGTTAGTAATAACATTAACACTATCATTAAATAATATTAATATTATTAATAATGCATTAACACAATATATAGGCACGAATCGTTCAATGTGTTTTAATTATCATTTTAAATGAACAAACATACTGCAATCGATATGTTGCGTATTTGCTTCGGGAGCAAAAATCGAGCAGCAACTTATCGGACTAAAAGATTTTTTTCTCGTTAAAAACTTGTTCAACCGTTCATAGTTCAAACCGGGAGTCGCACTATTATCGTCGACATCAAATTATATATATGATTATTTTTAATGATACCGGTTGCATATAATCACGCACTCATAATGTGGTATGTTCAGTTGATTGCAATAAGCGGCTAATTGAGAATACATTTCATCTTCTATAAATAGCAATCTTACGCAGATAGCAAAACGTGCCAAAAGTACAAATTGCGAAGTTATGATACATGTTATACCGGCAAAAATCGAGCAGCAATCCAACATGGGCTGCTGTAACAGATACTGCTAGCAAAAATGCAGCACATATCGAGCAAGCTCTGCATCATAACATGCTGCAAAAATGCTGTAAAAATTGAACAAAGCTTGTCATCATAAATACATCAAAATTCAAGCATTTTGTGTTGCCACAATATATTCAACAGAAAGTACTCCAAAATTTAGCTTGATATGCCGTCAAGACATGTTGCAAAAATGTAGTAAATATCTGGCATCTATTTATTCTTTCACACTGTGACAGTAGAAATGCAGCAAGAATGCAACACGATCTGTAACGTCAGATACTGGCAGCAAAAACGCAGCAGAAACAGAGTATAGTGTGCCATTACATCGTGACGGCAAAACTTCGACAGATATAAAGCATGATCTGCCTTATCAGTGTGTCGGCAGAAACGCAGTAGAATTGAGTACAGTGTGCCGTCACAACGTGACGACAACATTGCTGTCAAGTATATGGCGCGATTTGCTTCATCAGCTGTCAAGAGAAACGCAACAGAAATCGAGCACAATGTGCTCGTCACGTCGTGACGGTAAAATTATAACAGAAATCAAATAGGGCCTGCTGGCATAATCTGCCAGCAAATCAGCAACAGAAATCGTACAAAACTCTGCGTCTGTCACTAAACACAATAATTAGAAAACTACCGCTAAGCTGCGGTCCGTTTTTCGCGTGCAAAATTTATCAAACTTTCTATATAAGCGAAATCATATTCGACATTTAAACATGCATTTATTATTTACGTATTTTTATGTAT